TTTAAACATAAAAGGCTAAAACTGAAACATGTCTTTTTCACTCTCGATTTTGGTTTGACTATTTCTAAGTTACATATATTCAAGCCAAACTGAGGTTTTTGGCTGAATGAATCAATTTAAAGTGTCAAGCATTAAGGAGTCCTGAAAAATATTATGACATGATCTAAGGCATTTTGAAATCTTGCATTTAAATGTATTCACTTAGCCCATATTCACTCTCAGCATAAATCTTTTTAAAAGGGTACAATCAAACATTTCATGCTTAGCGGTGTTCCAGTGCTGTGTTTGCTGAGCAATCAGCTGCGGAAAACCAGCAGTTTTTGAGCATTTAAATAACTTTTCAACGCTGTCGCAAAAAAAAAAAAAAAGGTTTCATGTGTTCAGGAGATAGACGCTACTTTGTTCCTGGGCACTGCAGATGAATACTCAACATGATTTATATTTAAAATAAAGCTGTCATTGATAAATTTAAAGACTGCCATTGTTGACCCCCTAAGAGTGCCAGTTGCCTCCTAGCTGTTATATTAACCCTCTGGCTTCAATTCTTTTTGTGTCACTGGCACAGGATAAGTTATGCAGATCAAGAGATCAATTGAGGAAGTATCTAATCTACACTAGAGGATCGGCATGACAGCCAGGCAACTAGCATTTTCAGGAGAGGTCCGCAATGGAAGCCTTGATGTTTTTCTCATGACAGGTTTGCTTTAATATATATTTTAAGTTAAAATATATATTAACACATGTATTAAATCACATCTATCATGAGAAAAACATCAAGGCTCCCATTGCAGACCTCTCCTGAACATGCTAAGTTAAAATGTTTAACCTTAAACTGTGTAACTTAATCTATTTGGTGGAACGCTCCATGTTAAAGTATGATTTTGTTGGGGATTCATTTGATATTGACACTTTGCGAGCTATGTTGTACACTATTTGCAGTGATGTTCATTTAACACATAAAAAGCTTATGGGAAATGATAAAACTAATCAGTGTTTAACATCCAAAAGTCACATGACAAAAATACAGACGTGTGTGTGTGTGTGTGTGTGTGTGTGTGTGTGTAGGATGTTCAGTCATATTGGAAAAAAAAATCTGGTGTGTGTTCATTCTGTAGATCACTGTTTACTAGATCCGCACTGTGTCCCTGAGCGATGTGGTAGCTGCTCAGTGTGACCAAAAGTTACCCTGAGAGTGAAGGAATGTAGTGCGGAGCAGACACAACACCACCTGGATATTACATAATATACAATGCACTGACCGCACTGGGACCATCTGCTATACTGTCTGCGTCCAACAATATTTATCTGTTAACTATTATTAATGTAAGGATACTATTTATATTATATATACAAATACGGAATATTACACGCTATCACTAATCATCATACGTGTAACTCTTTGTACCTGATTTCTAAATGCCATTAATGCAGGAATGTGACAAAGTATCACACACACAAAAACACTTCTACAGTAGTAAATGAAAAAATGTAAACATACTCTAACTCATAGTAAAAAGTGAACCCCATAGATTACCTGCCAGAGAGCCATAGAATAACATGGAGAGATTCCTGCTACTCACCTTCATAATGAATACCCCTTAAAGACTAGATAAGATAGATAGATAGATAGATAGATAGATAGATAGATAGATAAGATAGATAGATAGATAGATAGATAGATAGATAGATAGATAGATAGATAGATAGATAGATAGATAGATAAGATAGATAGATTAATATAAGATAGATAGATAGATAGATGGATAGATATTATTATACAGTATTTAAATTTGCGCAGCGCTTTACATTATAAGGAAGACATGACAATACAATTCAAGACAAGGTGGTAAGGAGGGCCCTAATAAAAGATAGATAGATAGATAGGTAGATAGATAGATAGATAGATAGATAGATAGATAGATGGATAGATAGATGGATAGATAGATAGATAGATAGATAGATAGATAGATAGATAGATAGATAGATAAGATAGATATCAAAATGCTGATATTAGAACATATTATGATCACAGGTCGACACGTTTCGCAGATATAACATGATGGGGTCTTACACGTCTGTAAAACAAATAATGATTATAACTGGAATAAAAAACAGAGAAAATACAGAAAAAATAAAAGAAGCGAACAACTAACATCCCAAGCAGGTTACTAATGCTGTAGTATCAGATACAAAAGGAAACGTGTATGCAATGTAACATGAGGGACAATATCACCAAACCACATGACTCCACATCCATCAATCATCCATTCCCGAAAAGAGAAAACTAAAAGTACAGGATTTACAAATAACGTGCATTCAAATAGCTAATCCTAAAGAAAACCCCAAGGCCCCATTCACACTTGCTACATGCGTGAACGTCGTGTTTGTTGCACATTGGCATCAGGCAGCACATTCAATTCAGTGGGCTGCCCTATGCCTGACAAATGCGGCAAAGAAGATCCTGCAGCTGTCTATGCTGCAAGCTTTCCACGTTTTGTAACCGAGCATATTTGCACATTGTTGCACAATTCTTGCTTGTGGAGTTTCTGGTGCCCTTAACAATGAATGGCACTGCAAGTGTGTTTCATGAGCATGGTTTTGCATGTGGTCACAGTGGCATAGTGGTTAGTGCTTCTGCCTTGTAGCATTGGGGGTCCCTGGTTCAAATCCCAGCCAGGTCATAATCACTATCTACAAAGAGTTTGCATGTTCTTCCTCTGTTAGCGTAGGCTTCCACAGTCCAAAGACATGCTGAAAGATTAATTGGCCCTGTATGTATGCATGTGTGATAGGGATCTTAGATGTAAGCTCCTAAAGGGCAGGGACTGATTTGAATGTGCACTGTGTAAAATTGTTGGTGTTATAAATACCAATAATAATTAGCATGTGTGAATGGGATCTAAACTGTTAACTACAATCTCGATTTTCAAATAGGCCCTCCGTGTCTGTCTTCTGCCATTCTGTATAATTTTTAGAAACCAAAGCTCTGCTTAGTAAACTATGTGTATGCTGATTCTACTGTACATGATAGCCAGACATGGTTATTAAAGCCAAACTCCAAATGCACACGTCTTCAGAAAAGAAAGAAAGTTCATGTAATATTTTTTTTTGCATTGGAGCCAGTAAAGCATTGCAACCATGATTAGTAGATTACAGGTGCAGTTCTCTGGCTCCTGCAGATACTCCCATCCGTCTATGTCCATACCTCAGTATAGATATTTAGTAGAATGGATGGGAGTAAGAATGAATGATTGACGGCACCATGCTTGTATTCCATTGAGAGAGAAGTCCTTCTGTCATTCTGGTCCTGCCCTCTCAAAGGATCTGTGAATGGAATGGATGATGTGGCTGTGCGTGACCCTGATCACAGCCACGCCAAATAAAACATACAGCAGCAGCCTGCTGGAAGAAGAACCCCATGAATCAGGTACATGAGAAGGAGGGGGTGCTGATGTGACCATGTTTCATGTTACACCCTGAATATGGATATAACATGAAACATGGTCTAAAAGGTGAACTTAGCCTTTAGAGGAATGTAAAAAGGAGAGATGATGGTTGTAGCTGTTCAGAGGTAACCGGATTTTACCTCTCATCACTTTAGAGAGCACTGAGTAGTGACTGCTGAGGGTTAGCACCGGTCGCATATTGAATAAGGCCAGCAGAAAGTCAACAGCTCCATAGAAATGTGTCTGGAAAGTGAACATCAATAAGGCAAGCTCCAAATCCAATAGGAAAAGTCATTGCTGTGTGTAGTAGTGATGGGATGGAGCAATGTGAGGATTGTTATCAGACTGACTGCAGACTACAAGCATGCACAGAGCGTGGGTGTGAGGTGGAGCCAACACTGACTTGGCTGAGAGACGGCAATCACTGGAGAGTAGAGAATTCTGTTGCTGCATTCCACAGAGTTTTATCATTATTAAGCCTGAAGATCATTCTTTACATGGGAAGTATCTCTGACAAAGAAAAATTCCTGCCAGTAATAGAGAAACCAGCATTCTTTCTTCAGAGCTGTTAGAGGCCCTATATGTATGCAAATGGATATTTAACTGTATAAGCTTATTTTACATTCCAGCTTAAAGCTGAACTCCAAGATAAGCAAAAATAGTCAAAATACAAGAGGGATGAGTATTCTTACTTGAATCTAGGTGAGGTTTGTGTATTTCTTACAGACCTGTAGAGTAATCCAGAGTAAACCTTTGCCTCTGAACAGGACCTTCCTGTATTAAGACCGGTCGCTGCTGCTCTCTCTCCTTGGGCAGAGTGACTGGTCTTGTCTCCACCCCATCCTGTAGTTTTTTGCAGGCAGCCTGTAGTGGGTAGAGCCTGCTGAGTCCCTCCCACAGCTATGCCCTCAGCACAGGCTATGTACAGCACAGTGATGATGCAACTGCATATTTGGGTTTGCAAGGCATCTGGGAAGCACAACATGCTTTTTTGACCTCTGGCTTTTAGAGAACTCTGGGCACAAATTGTATTACATCTTGCAGTGGGGCTACCCCCGCACTGCATAGGTGGACTGCTCGTCCTTGCCTAGAGTAAAAAAAAATTACAGTTATCCTCCAAACTGGCTAGTCTTAGACCAGTCCCTGGAGCGCATTACCCCCCATCCCCCTCCACTGTACAATTTTATGTACCTGAGTTATCACGTCCAATACACTGTGTATTGAACGTGAGGATGCCAAGGGACATACCATCAGGTAGACAGGAGCAGGAGACAGGCTGGAGGGAGGATCGGGTGAGTAGGGTAGCTCCTCTGCAATGAATAATAAAATTTGTGCCCAGAGTTCTTCTTTAGGGAATATATTTAAATGAAAATTGCTGTGCAGTTTTAAATAGGTTTTAAGTTTGTGCATCCCCAACAATGCTGGATGTTAGGGAATACAATCCGGTTCATAGACTGTGGTCCTACCATGCTGGGGCCATGGCTTTAGCTCCTCATAAGAACCTTTTCTGGCTTGAGTGGTTATGTTTTCTATGCACAGGTGATATCTCAGTTCTGAAACATCCAGGTACATGTACTGACTCCCACTAACTGACCTTAGAGTGTATAAATCTCTAGGACTGTCCTGGAACATTAGAATGTACTTTCCATGGTGGGTAAGAAGTCAATGTTTTATGTAAAGCTCTGTAAAAGATAACTGGGGCAGTTGAGAAAATCAACTGGATCATATGCAGACTGATATCCACTAGCAGTAATGCAGGATGTGGTGAAGCCGCTCCAACTTTGGGGTTAGTCAAAGATATTTTCTCAAGCTGGAAACTCTTTTGTGTTCAGACTGGAACAATTTCCTCACTACATGAACAGGGACAGCAAGTAAGTTGAGATTCATTTTTTCATTGAACATAGCAGCCATTTTAAATGTGAACTGCGGCAAGATAGAAAAGACACAAATGAATGCAGTTCTGTATTCAATAATACATCATTAAATGCCTATTTTTAATGCAAGAAATGTACCTGAATTTGGCCTGGTGTTGGCTTTTTTGCAATGCCCTGTATGGTATTACTAGAAGAGGGAGGATTGGGACTTGAGCCCCGTTCACACCTATGCACTTTATTGCATGTTTCTTGAAACTCAACAACGCCCAAGAAGAAGAATCCCATTATTTGGTGCCGGTTTACATATGACCGTTGTGTAAGTGGCAGCTCAAAAATTCACATGAGCTTTTTTCAGGCAGAGACTTTTGGCCCCAAAATTAGTGTTTAATGGCCTATTTTTCACACAATTTAACACCTAACAACCATATTTTCCTCCTCCTAGTAGCTAGCTTTCCATTGGATAAAACAAAAATGCTCAAGCCTGAAAACGCCTGAAAATGCACAATGAAAGCATAAAAACCTGCACAAGTGCTTCAAAATCATCTGAAAATACACCAACACTAAAGTGTGAATGAAGTCAGTTGGGTGAGCTGCATGTAAATATGCTGACACATAAGTAACTGACAGAAGTTAGAGTGGAGAAAACCGAGTGAACATAGGCATGACCTCACCAGTCTGCTGCTACTCTTTCACTGTCCAATCAGCAGGCTGCAGGCAAACAGGATAGTGTCACTGCTGTATTCTATATTTGCCTCAAATAAAATTGGTGTCATCCTTATGGCTGTCCAGTAGTGGGTTAGTAACAAAAAAAACCCACAGTATAATATGTTAAATATGCAGTTGTATATAATATATATAGGTAAATTAGCTATAATTAGCTATAATTTCACACTGAAGTTGCTAGAGGGTCAGCCCATTATAAATAAGGAAGCAGGTTGTTTACCACGACAGTAGAAGTGATTTTTTTCCTGAAGATATGGGTAAACAATGCGATTTAACAGCCTTTGAACGTGGGGTGATTGTTGGCACGAGCCATGGAGCGAGTATCAGCAAAACAGCAGAATTGACTCCCACTAAATGTTCAAGAGCAGCTGTTGTTAAAGTGTTTAAAGACTGGACTGTCAGCCGAAAATCTGGGTCTGAACGTGCGAATTGTGGCCGTCAGCGACTAGTCAATGTTAGGGCAGAACGGAGAGTGGCAAGACTGGTACAAGACAACAGCAGTGCATCAGTGCAGTGTCAGATTCCTCGCATCACCTTTCTACATCTCGTGGAGTCACGAGGTGGCCCAACTATGTCATCTATGTGGAGTCATCTCGTGGCCCAACAAACTACTAAAGGGTTAGTCAAAATAATCTGGCCACTCAGTGTATATATAACACTGAAATAGTTATTGGTGCTGGTTGTTGAGGATGTGTAAGTTGACTTGAAGTGTATGGTGAACAAACTGTTTTGTTTTATGATGAGATTTACCTTAAAGTAATCTCTGACGTAACTTTGCTACATGTGGTAGCCTGCTATTTGTTTTGTTAAGGTGACACTAAACTCAAGAGTTAGATCTTGAAATTGCCTTCAAGTACCTTAACTGTTAACAATAATGTATCTTATTTGTGTATCACTTTGTGTAGATACTCAAACCCATCTCAGAATCGGTACTCACAGTGTCTTTCCTTCTGGAGGGGGGCGACTTTTGTTCCCCATGGTCCCTGTGTGTGTTGAAAAGTAGTCATAGCTCCAAGCCCACTCCCATGATAAGACTATAACTTCTACACAAATGAGTAAACTAAACGTGAGATTGTAGTCCATCACAGAAGTGATTTTAAGAGATTATTTGAGGATCTACAGCTTAGTGATACTAATAAAGTACATTTTTTTAATAGTCAAGATACTTGAATGCATTTTCAAGATTTAACTCCTAAATTTAGTGTCACTTTAAGTAACCTATTTGCTGATCTTAGTAAAACAAAATGTGTTTTATTCCCCCTCCATTTCACCACATCTTCTACAACATGTACCTGTCAGTAAAGTCTTCCAAATGTTTTCTCATTCTCCTGCTGGCTCATGTCAGTCATTGCCCTCATTATCCCTTTCAAGTGCAAGAAGGAGGAAGTTGCCCCCTGAGCTGGGACTCTTTAGTACACAAGTGGGTGGACACACATCACTCTTGTCCTACAGTAGGATGCTGAGTGCTCTACTTTCTCACGTAAATCTCTGCTATTGTGATGCTAAAACATCTTCCATGGAATGGACGGGAGATTATACATCAAATGGGTCATCCGTTAAAACATCCGACATGTCACAGACAGTGCAAAATCAACTGTCTTGTATTATTCTACATTTTTGGAAGAATTTGTCTACAGTTGTTTCCACTATTGCATAT